CTTATGGAGGAACCGGAATTAATAGAGCTTTCATTGGTGGTCTGCCTTTTGAGATCGATGAAGAAAAATTGCGTGAGAGTGTTGAAGAAAAGTTTGGAAAGGTTTTATGGATTGAGGTTGTTCGTGAAAGGGTAAGGATTACTGACACCGGTTCACTAAGTCTTGCGGAAAATATGCGAAACTTTGGTAATCACCATTCTTTGTTTAAGAAATGTGCGTTTGTTGAATTCTCTGAAAAATCTTGCTACGACAACGCGATAAATCAACGTACCTTTACTTTTAACGGGATGCAACTAAGGATCGTGAAGGCTCTGGCACCTAAATAGGAAAATAAGTAAACATATTTATATTTGTATATGTATATTATGTCTTAAAGTTTGCGATGAAGGCTAAGTCCATTTTTTCCTCATTCTCTTCGCGTAAAGTCTTATATATGCCAATATAAATTCCGAAGCTTTGGAATGGCATGTAGAATTTGGCCATTAATAGAAGATAATAGAAGCGCGGTATTATTACGTTTAAAAAAGGATGGCCTCACATATTATTTTAGATGGAAGAAGGAATGTTGGATGTCCTTGGAAGTTTAGTGTTGGTGGCAATGTTTTACTGGAATTCTTTTTACGTGAGCGTAAAATAAAATCCTTAAAGACAATGGATAAATATTCGTGCACGGCAACAAAAGTCTTTCTTTACAGATATTAAACCGTTTCAGATTACAAGTGTTGAGTTTATTGTACATTTTTGTCCTGATTTCACGTATAAATAAAATAACGGGCGAGCCTGTTATACAAGATCTGCAGGCGCGAATATAGACGACTTTGCATTAAACAATTGTGTATCACTAATCCAGTCGCTTCATGGAATTTTCTGGAATACTTCCATGCTTTCTTGACACCGCTCTCGATCCTTTTAACCTTGTTAGCAAGCGAATAAGTTAAAACCGTCGGAGTCGGAGTCAACGACGAATACTGAGTCTACAGGTAGATGAGCGGAATATTTTCTTTCATTACGGAGTATTGAGTCCTATGATATTTTGTATTTCGGCACATTGAGTCCTGTGATATCTTTGCATTTCGTGAAGCTTGCGAGTTATATGAAAAGAATGACGGATGTGAACTTTCGACCATAGGCAAGTATACATAACGAGTCACCTGAAGATTATGTGCATACGTATGAACCTTCTATCATCCATTGATCATATATTCGGGTGTGAAAGAATGTAATAGCTGGAGAATTTACTGATCATTTTCTTTTTTAGGAATTAAAATTCGAACATTTATTTATCAATACCCCTTTTGGTGATTTGAAAAGATCATTGTTTCTTGTTTCCTTCTAAAAATAACCGTGTAGTTGCCCACACGCATAATTAATGTGATAGAACAGTGACCAGATTGTGACACACCGGAATCCATCAAGTCTTCCTTTCCACATTAGGTTCTGCTGGAAACTCCATTTGTACTATTGAATTTAAACATTGATAAATCTGGAAAGGTCTCTGCATCTAATACATGCATGCTCCCCCTTAATAATTAGCATTTATAGGCTCTTCATCCTTTTCATT